GATTTCCTGGCACAACTTAGTGAGCACATCCAGGGCAGCATCTGATTGTTGAAATAAATCAATTGGTATGCTGTCAACTCCTGGAGCCTTGATTTTTGCCAATTCCTTCATAGCAACTTGAACTTCCTCCTTCATTCATCACCATAAGTTCTTGCTCATATGTTATTTCATAACACTAACACATAGTGTTTACAAACAATTTCAAAGCTCAGTGATGCCACTCCTGCAGCTCGGGTGTGTGCTGCCTCTTTAACAATTCACTACAAGACAAATGCTGAACAACAGTTTTAGTTTTTCCCTTTTCCCATAAAAGCAAAATGCCCCTTCAACATCCTTTCAGTTTGGGAAGACACGGTACTAAGGGAGGTACATAAGTTGAACTTTCAAAAGGCACAAGATGGCTGTATTTATCAGCTTGAAGATGTTCTTCACTAAATTTTCCATTTGTTTACCCATCAACTTACAGTTCTGTTTGCTCCCTCACTCACTGTACCACTTTCCCCACTTCTGTTCAACATTACCCATCCTTGAATTTCAGGCTTTAGTTGTAACTAATTGGCTTAACGCCTGCTTGGCTCCACTACAATAAAGTCGCAACTATGTGAAAGCTCGATTCCAATTAAGGCGGCCGGAGGAGAACTGATGTGTGGGTACTACAGTGTTGGTAAAGAATGTACCCTGGACTGACAGAACAACAAACAATTTAGTGTTGGAAGAAGTACAGCCAGAGTGTTCCTGATAATAACTCGGTGTCCTATACTTTGGGAATGTTATCAAGAGAGGCTAGTCATTAGAGATGGCTATCACACTTGAAAAAGAGGAAAACCTTCAACAAAAGGAAATGATGCAGAGGCTACAGAAATGAGCTGGAACAGAGGGCAGGGCAGGGCCAAGCGATGGGTCAGAGTGGCCACCCTGTTTTCCACCCTGGCCTTCTGCAGGTTTAACGGTCTCAGCTGCCCACCTGGCAGTGAGAAGCTAGAGGAGGAGGATGAAGACGAGGAAGACATGGCCCGGACAGTCCCAGGAATATTTGAATTTGAAGAAAAACAAGGCACAACCAAAAATCTCATCATGGCAAATCTCCACCAGGAAAAAGGAGAAACAGAGCAGGTCCCTGTGTAAAGCAGAGAAGGTCGTCCTGGGGGAGGGGCAAAGGCCAACAGCCAGCAGAACATAAATGTCAAGGACAGGTTTGCCGGTCCTCAATTTCAGATGGGCCATCCCCATCATAGGAAGGGCAACGAAGGATAGAAATAAGGAAATGTTCATGGAGGAGGGCAATCAGGAGAAAACGTAAGGAGCTGGAGCTGAGGAATTGTCTGTGTATTTTAATGGGGGCACTGTCTAACCACCATGATGAAATCTGCCTTATGCCTAGAGTCCAGTCATTTGCCATGAGATGAGTATTATTATTAACGTGTTCAACAACAATTAACAAACCCCAATGCTGGCAAGTCAATTTGGACTCCTAGTCACCCTGTAGGATAGTGCATAAATAGTATTTCCCAGGCAGTAACTCCTTAAATATATGAATTGCCACATCTGCTGAACATGAGTCACCCATTTTTCAGTTACTGCCCAAGTGCTTTAACAACTGTGCCACCAGGACCACTTACCATGTGTTCGGTAGGCCTCAAATGTTACCAGATTCTGAGTGAAGACTGCCTTTGCCCCCAGTGTAAGTTTCTGTTAATAGTTTCACCCATTTGCATGGAAAGACGTCAAGTTAATAAAGCAGCACCACAAGCAAACAAACCAATCCCAAAACCCACAGGCGGAATCCCAGGATGGTGCAGGATTGACAGGGTTCGGTTCTGTGGTACATAAAGTCACTCTAAGTTGGAACTGATTCTACAGCACCTGCCAGCAACAGGACTGTGCAGGAGTGTTGCAGCTGAGATTTTTCTGTATTTTACCAAATGAAAAACTAAATACAATTAAGATACCTTCTATTTTCAATGTGTTCCCCCCACCCCCTGGTAAAAAGTCAAAATATGCAGAATAGGAGAAATAACTTACCTCATTCCCTGACCATCGCTTATCACCACTGTCCACACTATTAAAACCTGAATCAAGGGCTCCATAAGGACGACCTGAGTATAGTTCTTCATGGCTGTCAAAAGTGACCGAAGGTGTTACTGTCAAGTTTGATACTTTAAAAATCAACATGTCAGATGTAATTTCACAAATAAATAATTTCATGGCATTTAGTCATTTAACCATTTACAACTAATTAAATACTTTTAAGGGCTTACTATGAAAAAGTCCAAATAAAAAAAACAAGGAGTAGTATAATGAAAATAACAGTCTCTCTTAGATAGCCAGTCAAGTAGGGGCTCACTCTGACCCCATTCTTGTGGCACTCACTTCAGGAAGGGAGTGGACACGATGCAGTCAGTCATGCATAGTCACTGATTAGACTGATTCTAACTATGCACCAAGGTATTATTATGATACTCTATGAGTTCCAATAACTAGGAGACCTAAGATCTTTGTGTTCTCTCTTTGGAATCTTCCAGATGAGGGAGAACACTCATGCAGGGGAGCGGGAGCAGCATGTCCTTGTGGGTAATGGAGGCCCTGTGCCAAGACATCTCCAAGATTATGTCTTAGGTAATTTTTGGCTATTATATAAATAAGTACAGGTAACAAAACGAGGTCTCAGAAACTGATCACATACCAAATGACGTATTTCAAAAAACAGACGCTGGCCTGGATGCACTCACTAAGCTGTGCCAAGAAATCTGAAGGACAACGACCTGTTTAACTGGAAGAGATCCCTATCTGTTCCCATTCCAAAGAAAGGTGACCCGACAGAGTGAGGAAATTACAGAACAGTATCGGAGGCAAGGATTCTGGGGCTTCGTCTGACATACTTTGGACATGTTGTAAGGAG